TTGTATTTTCTGTTTTATTTTGTTTTTCTTGTAATCTCATAAATTTAATAAAGATCATGCGAGACTGCCACACTTAAAAAAAAAAAAAAAAAAAAAACAAATTGAACAAATTATACTTATACCTTTAACAAATAACTTGTATTTAAATATAAATTCCTCAGTCACACTCTTATTCATCAAGATCTGATGTATACCATCAAGTACTGTTCTATACTCAAACTCATATTCTTTTCTATTGTATTCAAAAATCTTCTTTTTTACCAACCAAAATTTGGAAACTGTAAATATTCCATAAACACACGTCTAACTTGTGATGTTGATGATAATGGATAATCATCACGTTTCAAGTATTTGTTAAAGAATTGTATAAAAGCATTTACAAGTGGATCTTGAACATGAAATTGTGTTATTAGATACATCAATTCTGCATATTCCTCAGATGAAAATTTTTGGTATATATCTTCAGGATCACTTGATATTCTAGTAAATAAAGCATCATATTTGTGTAATCAGAAAATAGAGTATTGATATTTTCATCTTCAATAAATTCGTCAACATTAAAGTTAACCTGTTTATCGAATTCTTGTTCTTTAATAGATTCATTATCATCAAAGGTAATTCAAATATTAAGATTTTGTTCTTTAGTAGATTCATCTATAACAGAGGTAAGCCTTTTCCAGTTAATGATCAGATTTTGCTCAAAACGCGCTCTCTTATAAGTTACTTCCGTCCTTTCAGGTTTATTTTGTCCTTCAAATATATTTTAATCATTAAGAATCTGATTTGTTATTTCAACTGGATTTTAAAAACTTCTATGGCTCATTTGATTTGGCAAAGGTAAGTCTTCATCACTATCGTTTAAATGTATTTTTATATGATTTGTCAAAGCCTACTGGTTTTTGAAAACTTTACTACAAGAGAAACACTTTGGCATTTTAGAGAATAAATAGTTCATTATAAATAGTTACCAGAAATCGATTTAATGATGCACTAAAATAAGATTTATAAAAACGAAATGTATAAATTGATGGGTTTGTAAGAATAAATGTATAAATAAAGTAAAAGACAAAAATCATCTTTCTTGTATATATAAACAATTGTGTCTTAATATATATTTTCAATACTAAATAATATGATTTTTAAGCTGATTTAATTTGTTATAGCTTTGGAACCATGTGAAATTATATTCAAACTCTAAAAAGTTTAAATATATATTTAGAATATACAGCTAATTTATTTTAAAATCATTATTCAAATAAAAATATAAAAAATTCTAATGCCTTTTATATTATCAACTGAAGTTTGTTTTTCTACATCAATTTAAGACTTTATATTAATTTTGTTATTAAATTTCTGGCTTTATCACATTACAAATGCAATAAATACTTATTATATGACCTACTGAAATAAATTAATCTTCTAATTATTTGAAATGCAATGTCTTTATTTCAGAGATTTATTGACTAATCATCACTATTACACAAATCAAAATTGATCTTAACAAAATTAGATTTTGTTTTTTAACTGTAATTTATCATCACGTGATTTTCAAATCATGGATTACGTAATATAAAATTAGACTATAAATAAGACTATAAATTAGACATCATTCAAACTTTTTGTCAGATCAACTTTTTTCGATTCATTCGTTTGACCATTTCTTTACAATTAACAAGAATAATTAACCGTTAATATATAAGTAGTAAGATTTGTAATGATACAGGATTAAATATTTATGTTTGAAATATTTATGTTTGAAGAAATATTCTAACTTGATTTATTTCAGAAATACACAATTTTTTTACAATTATGAGTCGCAGAAAGTGAGTAATATCTGTTACATCACACAAAAATGCTCAGCATATCTTACCTTATATTAACCTTTTAGATGAACCAACAGATACTTCAAGCATATTAGGTAATTCTACTACCCAGCTAGACTTGGATAACTGGATTGTTAAAGATGTGAATATAGAAAGCTGATTAAATAAGTTTGATGATAACCATACTTTACCTGATTTGGAAAGCCATCTTCCAAGTGATAATGAGAATCTTGTTAATGATTTTATCCCAGAAAATGAGATGATATTCCCTTTTAACAATAAATGAAAGGTTAAAAATATGAAAAAAGAAGACATAAATATATAAAAGAAGATACGTAAGTTTATTGACTATTTATTGCTTTATAACTACAATCATTATTTAATTATATTTCTTTTATTTCTTTTAGGACTTACTTTAACAATTAGCAATATACAGGATGTACAAAATTAAATGGTTATGGCAATTCAAGATATGCAGAAAAAGATTAATAAAATGCATATGGATTGAAAATCTACTGACTTTGTTAGTCATATCAAAAATGATATCAAGTGGATTAAAGTAAGTGATATTAAATATCATTATATTTTTTTAATTAATATATTAACTTGTCTATAACATTTATTATAGGATGTAATTAGCCAGTCAATTTATTCTGCTGCTGAGAAAGTCAAATATCCAAGTGATGATCATCTTATGCAAGTGTGTTATAATGCTTTATTAAATAAAAATAAGAAAGAGTTTCAACATAAGATAAAGTATAGTAGATGGAAACATTTCTTTAATAAGAATGTTTGATCATTGATAAGTAAATATTAATGTTTATTTATATAAATTTATTTTAATCTCACTTAATCTTTTAATAGGCTCAAAGATTTTCATATCAAGTATAAAATAATATTGTGCAATGTGTTAAGATGCTATTCATATAGAATTTTTAAAGCCTAAAACAGAAAATCGATAGATTACACGTAATGAAGAATGGAAATTTAAAGATTCTGATATTACACGCGAATATTATATAAAATTGAATAAACCTGTGAATCTTAATGATAATTCACATTACACTTACCTTAATTTGATCATTGATCATGTTTTTACAAATTCAGATACAGAAAAAAATTCTATCACATTTGAGATGGCTGTTGCCTTGAATTATCTTAATCCATCGAAGAGTATTAATATAGTTTCAAGTGAAGTTGTGAAGCGGATGAATTGCTTTCTTGAAAAGATACAGATTTTTGACTTTGAGGAGTTGTGAGTCAAGAAAATTGTAAGTGATTTTTACATTTACAATAACATATTTACTTATAAGCATTTATTATTTAATAATATATTTTATATAGAATAAAAAATTATTTAATCAAAATTGTAAATACTACAAAATTAAAAATTACAATTATAATTAATTTGCTTAATAAATATAATTAATAAAAATTATTGCTTAAACATATAATATAAAATAAATATAATTATTGTTTAAATATATGATATAAAATTAATACTATTGGTAAATACATTATAAATATTTTATATAAATAATGAAATTATATTATATTTTAATGTTAAAATAATATATAACATTGAGTAATTATATTAGAATACTAATGTTTATTGAATAAAAGATCTATTCAAATATATTTAATAAGCATTTGAAAAAACTAGTTTTAAAGCATTTACTAAATACTTAATAATGCTTAGTTTAACTTCGTGATGAAAATTGACCTTAATTCAGCATCATTCGGCATCAATTTAAAACTTAAATAACCATAAATCAGCCTAAAATTAATCTCAATTCAGCATTATTTAGCATCAATTCAGAACTTAAATAACTATAAATCAGCCTAAAATTAGTCTTAATTTGATATCAATTCAGTCAAATAAGCATATAAAATCGATATATTTTATTATTAAATTTATTAAATATTAAAATTTTATTAATAATAAAAATCTAATATAATTCATAACAATATAATATAAATATTACTAAAACTCACTGATTAATTTTCTATTTAAAAATATAAGCAAAAAATGAAATAATTATATAAAATAATAAAAATATAATCTATTTTCCTTCTAAAATCCCCTTAAATTTTCTAAATATTTATTATCATAATATTGCCATTTTTGAAAAAAAAAAGAATAAATTAATAAAATATAATTTATTTTTCTTCTAAAAATTCTTCAAAATCATCTATAAATGTAAAAAATAATAAATAAAATAACAAAAAAAATAAAAATTTACCTTTTCTTACTAAATTACTTGAAGTTATATTTTTCTATTATAAAAGTAAAAAAAATCAGTTTATTATTTAAAAAATTGACTGATTAATTAATAAAATTCAACTTAAGTTTCATTTAATTTGATAATTGAAGGTATATTTCTAAAATTAACTTAAATTTCATCTGATTTTGATAGTTAAAGTTATGTTTCTATTATAAAAGTAAAAAATCAGTTTGTTTTTTATATATTTTTTGAAAAATTGAATTTACAATCACGTTTTAAGTAATATTGATACATAAATATATCAATTAGTAATCAATCATCAAAAAAATCCCTATAGCTAGATTATATTAATAATTATTATCATTAATAAAAGATGTTTCTAAAGGGTCTATATCTGAAGTAAGTTAAAAGGTGATTCAAAAAGTAGTTCAAAAGGTAGATTATTAAGTAATACAGAAGATTACTTAGAAAGTTCAGAATGTGATTTAAAGGAAGTTAAGAAGTTTGTATTAAAAAGTTTATATAAAGAAAGGTTTATATTAACAAAAATATCATTAAAAAGTTCACAATATAGTGAGATAAAATAAGAGTTTTCTATATTATTGTTATTATAATAGCTAAAATAAAGAATATTAAATTTTGTATTGTTATCTGACTATTGAAAATTATCTATTATTAAAAAAGAAAGGATTCTTTAAAAAAGAATATAAGAAAATATAAAAAAGAAAGTGATGTTTTGCATACTAAAGAAAATATTTAAAAGGTTAGTAGTATACATTACAAAAATCAAGGTGAAATTTAAAATTTTAAAAAATTTATATATAATATAAATTAAGGTGAAATTTACCTTTGATGAAATTCACTAGAAGTTAATCTAAAATTAATCCTAAAAATTATATATTATAAAACTTAATAATTTTATGAAATTTTATATTAAATTTTTTATTAGATAATGATACAAATGAATGAGAATATTTTATAAAGGTTTAGATTTGCATTATCTTTAACTATTCATATAAATACTATGAAAACTATTTAAAAGAGCTTAAATATATATATGTAAAAATAAAAGTATATAGATAGATATAAAAAAGAATATATAGTGACCTATTAGAAAATATTTTAGAATGAATAAATGAATTTAAGTAAAAAATATTTATTTTTCAGAAAACAATTTAAAAGAAGTAACTTGGTCAAATAATTTACTTATCATTATCATATATAACAAATGCATTTTTTAGCTTATGATAAAAATCAGAATCTTTAGATTTCTAATAAAAAATAACTTTATGAAAAAAGGTAATAGTTAATTAATTTATATTAATAATTTTTTGACTGATATTTGTAATCATCTTACATTTTCTGATAAAATATAAGTATTAGATAATTTTTTTAAAGAGGTCTATATTATTATCCCTTAAACTGTAGAGGTTCGCAGGCAAATTTGCCTGCTTATTTACTATAAATTCTCTTCTGATTTACTTTTAT